CATCCAAATCTCATCTTGAATGGTAGCTCCCATAATTCCCATACGTCATGGGAGGGACATGGTGGGAGGTAATTGAATCATGGGGGCAGGTCTTTCCCTTGCTGTTCTAGTGATAGTGAATAAGCCTCAAGAGATCTGAGATTAATGGTTTTATAAAGGGGAATACCCCTGCATATGTAAGACGTTACTTTGCTCCTTCTTTGCTTTCCACCATGATTGTGAGGCCTCCCTAACCATATGGAATTGTGTCAATTAAACCATTTTTCTTTATAAATTACCCAGTCTCTGGTGTGTCTTTGTGAGCAGCATAAGAACAGACTAAGACAGTAAATTGGCATCAGTACAGTAAATTGGGGCACTACTGTTAAGATACCTGAGTGGAAACAACTTTGAAACTGGGTAACAGGCAAATGTTGGAACAATTTGGAGGGCTCAGAAGAAGACATGAAGATGTGGGAAAGTTTGCAACTTCCTAGAGACTTGTTGAATGACTTTGACCAAAGTGCTGATAGTGATATGGACAATAAGGTCCAGGCTGAGGTGGTCTCAGAGGGAGATAAGGAATTTGTTGGACACTGGAGCAAAGTTGATTCTTGTTATGTTTTAGCAAAGGGATTGACAGCATTTTCCCCCTGCCCTAGAGATCTGTGGAACTTTGAACTTGAGAGAGATAATTTAGGGTATCTGGCAGAAGAAATTGCTAAGTGGCAAAGGTTTCAAGAGGAAGCAGAGTGTAGAAGTTTCAAAAATTTGCAGCCTGATGATGCAGTAGGAAAGAAAAACACATTTTCTGAGGAGAAATTAGAGCCAGATGCAGAAATTTGCAAAAGTAACAAGGAGCCAAATGTTAATCACCAAGACAATGGGGAAATGTCTCCAGGGCATGTCAGAGATCTTCACAGCAGGCCCTGCCAGCACAGCCTCGGAGGCCTAGGAGGAAAAAAAAAATGGTTTCATGGGCCAGGTCCAGGGCCCTCTTGCTGTGTGCAGCCTAGGGATTGGCATCCTGTGTCCCATCCACTCCAGCCGTGGCTAAAAGGGGCCAAGGTACAGCTCGGGCTATGGTTTCAGAAGGTGCAGGCCCCAAGCCTTGGCAGCTTCTACATAGTGTCAAGCCTACGGATGCACCGAAGTCAAGACTTGAGGTTTAGGAGCCTCTGCCTAGATTTCAGAAGATGTAGGGAAACTCCTGAATGTCCAGGCAGAAGTTTGCTACAGGGGCTGGGTCCTCATGGAAAATTTCTGCTGGGGCAGTGCAGAAGGGAAATGTGGGGTTGGAGCCCCCACACAGAGTCACCACTGGGACACTGCCTGGTGGAGTTGTGAGAAGAGGGCCATCATCCTCCAGAACACAGAACGGTAGATCCATGAACAGCTTGCACCATGTGCCTGGAATAGCCATAGACACTCGATGTCAGCCCATGAAATCAGTCAGGAGGAAGGCTGTACCCTGCAAAGCCACAGGGACAGAGCTACTCAAGACCATGGCAACCCAACTCTTACATCTGTGTGACCTGGATGTGAGACATGGAGTCAAATGGGATCATTTTGGAGCTTTAAGATTTGATTTCCCTGATGGATTTTGGACTTACATGGGGCTTGTAGCCCCTTCGTTTTGGACTATTTCTCCCATTTGGAGCAGGCATATTTACCCAATGCTTATACCCCCATTGTATCTAAGGTAACTAAACATGCTTTTGAATTTACAGGCTCATAGATGGAAGGGACTTGCCTTGTCTTAGATCAGAATTTGGACTGTAGACTTTTGAGTTAAAGCTGAAATGAGCTAACACTTTGGGGGACTGTTGGAAGGCATCATTGGTTCTGAAATGTGAAGAGATGAGATTTGGGAGGGGCCAGGGATGAAATTATATGTTTTGGCACTGTGTCCCCACCCAAATCTCTTGAATTGTAGCTCCCATAATTCATACATGTCATGGAAGGGGCCCAGTGAGAGGTCATTGAATCTTGAGGGCAGGTCTTTCCATGTTGTTCTCATGACAGTGAATAAGTTCACAAGATCTGATGGTTTTATAATGGGGCATTTCCCTGAACATGCTCTCTTGCCTGCTGACATGCAAGACATGACTTTGCCCCTCCTTTGCCTTCTGCCATGATTGTGAAGCCTCTTCAGTCATGTGAAACTGTGAGTCAATTAAATTATCTTTCATTTATAAATTACCCAGTCTCAGATATGCTAATGGCAAAAACCGTGATTACTTTTGAACCAACCTAATAGCATTGTGAGAACAGGTTCATACACCATCCTATGTTAACAGTTGTGTGCTAAGTTTTCCTATAGATTCACAAAAGTGACAACTCATGAAAACATACATCCTTGGGTAAAACTAATTCTTACAGAATAAGAACAGTGTGATTAAAAACATACCCAAAGTTGGTGTCTCTGACCAGGGGGACTCAGCTTGAAAAATGCACCATAGAAGGACACAATATTTTTGTGGAAAGAGAACTTCCTCAGAAGGTTGAGTTCAGTCCTGAGATCCTCTTCCTCATCCTATGGAATAAGAATAGACAGCAAAGCTCCCAGGCTGTGCAATCAATGACTATGTGCGATCAATGACTGTCAAGGAAGAAGAATCCTATGGTAACCAATTATGCCCAACAGCAATTTATAATAAACTCTCAACTAAAATTGTCAGTGAACGAAGATCTCTGGTTAACTTGGAATTTGGGAGAATAAAAAAAATAAACCGAAAATTTTTTAGTTCAGTGGTTCTCCAGGTATGGTCCTTGGACCAGCAGCACTGGCCACTGTATAAAGTTTTCACTGAGTAGAGTCATTATATTGTTGTCTGTTTTGCAACAGCTGTATTGAGATATAATTCGCATACTATAAAATACACCCATTTAAAGGCAAATGCAATGGTTTTAGTATATTTATAAAGTTGTGCAATTATCACCATAATCAATTTTTGAACTTTTTTATCACTCCAAAAGGAAACCCCATATCCTTTGGTTATCATCCCTCAATTCTGCCACACACACACTCCAACTCTAAGAAATCACTAATCTACTTTATGGCTCAATACGTTTATCAATTCTGGGCATTCTATATAAATGAAATCACATAACATGGTCTTTCATGAGAAGCTCTTTTCAAAGTTCATCCATATTGTAGCATGTAACAATATGTCATTGCTTTTCATCAAGTGAGGGACATTTGGGCTATTTCTGCCATTTAGGTATTATGAATAATGCTTCTATAAACAGTCATGCCAAGTAACTCTATATTTAATGTTTTGATGAAATGAAAAACTATCTCCCACATTGGCTTTTACCATTTTGCATTGCCAAGAGCAATGTATGAGGGATTTTCACTTTCTCTATTCTATCACAACACTGGTTATTTTCTGTTTTATTATTATAACCATTCTAGTAGGTGTGAAGTGGTGTCTCATTGTGGTTTCAATTTGCAATTCCCTGATGACTAATGATGTTGAGCATCTTTTCGTGTGCCTATTGCCCATTATATATGTTCTTTGAGAAATGTCTAACAAAAAATCAATTTTCCTTTTAAAAACTGGATTGTCTTTTTATTAGTGAATTATCAGAGTTCTTCATATATTTTAGATACAAGTGACTTATCAGTTATACAACTTGCAAATATTGTCTCTGATTCTGTGTATTGTTTTCTCACTGTCTTGAATAGTAACCTTTGAAGCACAAAAGTTTTTATTTAATGAAGTACAATTTTTAAATTTGTTGTTTTGTTGCTTGTACTTTTGGTGTCATATGTAAGCATCCATTGTCAAATCAAAGGTCACAAAGCTTTATCCTTATTTTCTTCTAAGCATTTTATAGTTTTAGCTTTTATATTTAGGAGTTCAATCCATTTTGAGTTAATTTTTATATAAAGTAAAAGTCCAATTTCATTATTTTGCATGTGGATGGCCAGTACCACACCATCTTGATTATTTGGTAATCCTTTACATTTTAAAGGTATTGGTTTGTTCCATCCTGATCTTTTAAAAAACATTTATTATTTTTTCACATTTTATGTATTTATTTTTATTTTTTAAAGCTATGTTTAAAATAGTTTATTTTTTCTTAATCACAACACTGGTACATGCATAATAAAATATAGATAAATATACTAATAAAATATCTAAGGTGTCTACTCTCACTGAATATTTTCCCCAACCATAATGGCTTAGTGTACATTCTTTCAGACACTTGTATATGTTAATCAGTAGCTAGAGCTATGACAGAGATAAATGGATAATAATCAACACACACACACATACACACATGGCATTTAATATATATATATATGGCATTTAAAAATCAAAATCAGCTCATATTATTTTCACTATTCTGCAATTTTCAGGTTTTTATCAGTATATAAAGTACATCTTTCAATATCAATAAGCAAATGCACATCCTTCTTATGGCTGCACAAGATTGCACAGAATGAGGATATGTTTCCAGCACTTAGGGGACAAGTCAGGTGTAGAAGTATTGTTTTTGATAATTACCTATACAGTGATAATTGGAGCCACCTAGTTGGATGAGATCACTGATGTACAATACATAGCTTCAAAACAGCTTTAGCAGATATCAATCAGAAAAGAACACCTACTCTGGGCATTAGGACACTGAAGTTTAGCACTGATAGCCGAGAGTAGGAAATTCACGTAATCTTCCTAAAGTTCAATTTATTTATTTTTTTTAAATAATGTAAAACAGCAGCAGTTACCTATCTTCATGGAATGTTAGTGGAACCAAATGGGATAATATAAATAAAGTTCTTTGAAATCTTTGGAAAAATACTTATATAAATGCAATGCATTATCATAAAATATCATTGTTACTTTACTTCTTTGATTTACTCCAATTGCAATCAGAACTATACACTTCCCTCCACTGTTTACTCATCTCCAAACATCAGCCTCCTTCGTTCCCAGCATATTAATTATAGTGAAATGAAATAGAAAGCAATTCTCTCTAAGTTTCAGTGATGTCTGCTTGTACCATGATAGCCAAGTGGTTTTGATACTCCTGTAACTCTTATTTTTTAGTCAATCTAGAAAAAGCTTTTTGTTTCTTAATTATTTGAAAATAATTACACTTTTGTATATACAGATGCAATGCATTTGAGAAAAATACCTTAAAATATTAACTTATAAAAAGGCAACCTAAACTGTTAAAAATTTTCAGTGAAAATATAATTGGTTTGTGCCTTTAGGTGTTACAGTCCTAGCTTAAAAGAAATGACACATCAGGAAATAAGATTCACATATATGAATGACACAACCAACAGTGAATACAAAATAGTGGATAATAAAGTTGAAGGCAATGTGAGATGACTCAGAAAGTAATTCTGCACTTGAAAAATGAATTCCTTACTGGGATCCTTTGAATTCTGAGTAGCTCTAAATTTTATTTGATTGTAAATTAAAAAGCTCTCCTATTTCATCTATAGTAGTTCAATTTATAAAAACTATTAAGAAGTATTGTTATTGCCCAAAGTGAAATATATCTGTAGAATGTAAAGAAAAGAAGACTTTGGGCTGGGCATGGTGGCTTATGCCTGTAATCCGAGTATTTTGGGAGGCTGAGGCAGGTGGATCACTTGAGGTCAGGAGTTCGAGACCAGCCTGGCTAACATGGTGAAACCCCATTTCTATTAAAAATACAAAAATTAGCCAAGCATGGTGGTAGATGCCTGTAATCCCAGCTACTCTGGAGGCTGAGGCAGGAGAATCACTTGAACCCAGAAAGCCAAGATTGCACCACTGCAGTCCAGCCTGGGCAACAGAGCGAGACCATGTCTCAAGAAAAAAAAAAACAATGACTTTTGAATTAAAGATATAAAGATTTCCTGTTCTAAAATCCAGCGGAAAAAAATACCTTTAACCCTTTTGGGCAATGACCTAGGAAACGAACAACTGACATGGAAAACAGTTAAGGGGTTAATCACCAATTATCTAGTTCTCACCAGCATTTTCCTCACACTATCCTGACTTAATGACTTTGTGAGCTAAGGAAATAAATCTCTTAGCTGAAATGAATAGATAACTAAAAATATCTACTCAGTTATTACCTTCTCTCTTAGGTAATTCTCTAAGACTCAGCAGGAAAAATAGGCAACTACTTTCTATATTTAGGTATAATGTGGCTACGCTTTAAAAATATGACATAAATATAAAGCAATGCACTAGGCTTTGTAGTGTCTCTAAGTTGATTTAATTTTTACTTATAAATTATAGTTCCTCCCCTTAAATGCCCAGGATTTATAACATACTTTGTAAAAAAAATTAAGTTTGCAATGTCAGAGAAATGGCTGGCAGTTGCAGAACATTCCTTAGTATTTCCCTAAGATTTTCCACTGGATTTGCTACAAGCATTCAACTACTAGAAAATAAATCTCTAGACACCTATTTGTCTTATGGGGGAAAGGGATGAGTCCTGATCTGTGCTGTTGAAAATCTCAATGACAAGTTCCCTCTTTCTATTTTTCTGTGTAATAAAGGAATGACAACTTACGGTATGAGAATTGCATGAAAGTTCAGGCTAGAGTCTCATACCAGTCTCCCAGCAAAGTTCAGTTAATAAATTCCCTTCGAATTATCTTAACCTGTTTTCTAGAAAGGTAAAAATCCAGTGGCTTTCATTCTTGTCATGTAAGATCCTTAAACTTTCTGCTTCCCCTGTGATGTGGCCCTCCTTTGAAATGGTAACAATATCTGGCACCACAAAGGACTAGCAAACCACAAGGACTAGCTATTCAATATGTACGTGGGCACTCTCAGTTTCGATTCGGTTGCCAAGGTTCTGCTGAGAGAAATATGAACTCATAAGTAGTGCAATAAATAGGAATGAGAGGATGTTAGGAGGTTAATACAAAGAACAAGTCAAAGAGAAGCAGGTGTAAGACTGAATCCTTTCACTGGCTTGGTGGCTTGATGTTAAAGAGATTCCTTTTCTTTTTGGGTTAAAAAGCTTATGTGTTCCAGCAAGAACAAGAGACGCCTGGGCTTTGGGCAGCTATGTAGTTGCATTTGTGATGTCTCTTTTTCTAAGAGGAGCCTGAGGGATAGAGAGGGCTTTCCCAAGGGCTTTTTGGCTATTTAGTTGTAGACTTGGGATTTCAACTCATGTTTCTGGATTTCCATATTATTGTTATTACCATAACCCCCTGGCATCTAAGAGATGTGTGTGCAAGTCACATAATTTTTATCCCAAAGGATTCAAGATGAGTTAGAGATGCTAACTGGATGATTAGCTCCCGTTATTTTTTCTTACTGAAATATATAATCAGAGAATTCAAAGTCCCTGACTAGAAAAACCTTTTTAGAGTGGATTTCTCACATAAATGTAAACTCCCCCAAAACAAATAAATGAAGATCAGATATGTTTGGAAAGCATTAGTTTGTTTGCCACTCTGAATTAACAGGAAGCTGAGTTTGTGAGAAACACATAATTACATTACGTCCATCAGGCCAAGCGAGTGATTTAAAACTCTCACACATCTTCCAGTAATATGATGCTACAGCATTTCCTGGCTTAGGGCCAGTTGATTGCAGACTGGCCTGAATACCCTGCGTTTTGTCAAGAAGAGGCAGCTCAAGGATGCCAGAACTTCCTTTGTAATTTCACCCAATTCTAGAATTAAAAACATTTTCTCTAAGGAAAGAGTGCCAGAGAGGGCTTGGGATAGATCTTTAAAGAAGTTTTATTAGCACAAATGTGTGATGAAACCAGAATTAATGAAATAGTTATATTTTTCATACCTTACCTTTCATGGCTTCCTAAGCTACAAAAGCATGATACTATTTGTTTTAGCTGGTCCTTTGGATATACTTAGTCTCTTAACATGCATTATGAACACAACAGGAGCCTAGTACTTAATATATGAGTCATGAGGCTGTTTAGCAATACTTTTCTAATATAACTAGAAAGTTTCTGAATGTGATTGTGTTAATTGAAATGGTTATTTTTAATGTGCCTGAGAACATATTTACTAAGTCACAAAATGCTCTAAATATTTGAATCCCATGTAGAGCTGACTGCAGGATAGAAAAGTAGGAAAAAAATATATCAATTCAATATATTGATAAGAACAGAAATTCAACTTTTGGGCCCATACAATATTTTATAGATCACCAACAGATACTGAAAAAGAGGAATTATCTTTGCTTGGTTTTATTCTTGATCCAGAGAATTGTTAATATCAGAAAAATTGCTTTGAAGGGAAGTCAAACGCTGCACATAGAAAACATGTTCATATTCCTTCATGTGTTCAAGTATGGTACCAGATGTCTGAAGACTTTGAGCTGAGTGGTCGATTTGTTTTCTGCCTGTTATTGCTCTTACAAAAAAAGTGGGGACATTCCTCATTTGGTTCAAACACAATGGTCATGGTTGTTAGAATCATAATGGAGAAAAAGCAATTCAATAATCATATATGAGCACTAACATATATCAGAGAGTAGATCACAGGAGAAAAGATCCCTTGAGTAGGGATGTTTTGATTGTAGGTGAGGAATTGAATGCCATGATAAATGTGTGAAAAGGACCTTGCCAAGGCCAATTTTACACAAAATTTGTTGCAGGTCTCATTATCTCCTTTTTTGTTGCTATTCAGCCAGAGGGCTCTATGCTCTGTAAATTTATTCAATTCCTCACCTACAGTCATTACATTCCTACTCAAGGGACCTTTTCTCCTAATGTCCTACTCTCTGATATAAGCTAGTGCTCATATAAGATGATTGAATCATTGTGAATATATTAAAAGATATAAATATGTTATCATTTTCAGGAAAGAATGGTTTAGTAGCAGTCTTGTAGAGAAAATGACACAATTCAAAGGGATAAGTTAAAAGCTGAAAATGAAAGGAAAGACTACTTGGATATTAATGAGAACTTTTAGTACTCACGCTGTATCTCCACCCAACAGATTTTTGATATTTATTCACTCTCACTCGCCTTCCAATTTCAGGTAAAGGGGTCTGTAACCAGGAATGAAATGTTATTAGACTTACTGGTACACTCTAAAAATGATTTATGCTTAGCTACTTTAAGTTCCTTTAGCACTAAATGGAAGAGTAAGATAACATTGTTCCTCTTTCATTTTTCACTAATAGTTTCAATTTAAAAAATCAAATTTTTATGATATACAGAAATTTGGCAACAAATTCATGGTAGTAGATTTAATTGCTGTAATAATTGGAAAATTACAGTTTGATAACAGTAAAGGCTTCTTCCTCCTTACAAAACCAGTTAATTGACACTAACACCCATGGATTGAACATGATTTTTAAATATTTTAAAAGTCAGAGTATCTGAAATGTAGGTTAAATGTATGTAAAGGTTTATTAAAACAAGAAAAGAAATATTTTAGAGAGTCTCACTCAAAAAGTAGAATTTTGATTATTTGGAAGCCATGGATTGTAGGGCAAAATAAATCTACAAAATCTCAAAATCCCTCGAAATTCACAGTGGTTTGCAACATTTGATATTTACTGGCAAAACAAAAACCAGACAACTTTTTTTAAAATCACCTATCTTTTCTTTTTCTAAATTATACTTTAAGTTCTGGGGTACATATGCAGAATGTGCAGATTTGTTACATAGGTATACATGTGCCATGAAAGTACACAACTCTTTAAATAGCTTCAGCAATTCACTTTCTGCACAAATTGGAAAACGGACAGTTCGTGGCATTGACAGTAGTTCAGTGACTGTGTATAGCTTTTCAAACATAAATTTCCCTTTAGCGTATAGTGAAGTAAAATTTTTTTGACCTTTGCTATGTTCATGCTAATATCATCTTGAGAAAGTGTGGTATTCATGTTAAAGAAAAAGAACAGAAAGCAGTGCTAGCAAATTCTACGACAATATGTTATGAACCGTGACACAACGTTATGAATGTTATCAGGGATGGTGCCAATTAAANTCAGAAAATACATGAAAAATGTGCATCTCTGTTAAGTTTCTTCCTTCTACCTGTCATTGAGAATCGAATGGCCTCAATTCTCAGAGGAAATCATTGGAGAGGAAAAATAATATGATGGAACACAGAGGGATTAACCCAACATTAGAGGCAATCTCTTTTTTGCTATCCCTGGAAACAAATAATCAACTAGAAACAGAAAGGAATAGAGGTATCTTCCTTGCTGTTATAGAATACCAAAATATGTGGAACATCTGCTGGGAATGAAGCATTGTTTTATGTGGATATATAATAAAGCAATTGATATAATACACTAATGAATACAAATAATATTAAAAATGACTATAATAAATCCAAAGTAATATAATTATTATATAATATAATGATTTTAAAACAAATGAAATATTTTCTGAGCTGTTTATCCCAAGAACACAGTCTGCTAAGGGAAGAGAATACAGGCAAGTTATAATACTACCTTACGAGCATTCATCACTTTAACAGCTGTAAATGCACCAGTCTTCTCATGAAGTCCCTGAAATACAGGATAGTGATAAACATCAAATGCTGTCTAGGTAATTCAGCTATCAAGAAGTAATAAAACTAGAAAATATTAAAATTAAAGTTGAATACATTATATACTATGAAATATAAAATATATACAGATGAAATATATGCTATTATATAGAAAACAAAAATATTAAATTATCAACATTTTAAAGAAATCACCACTCCACTCAAAACACTCAAGGAATGTTATGGAACAGTTTGCCTTTTTATGTCTGTAGTAACTAGCGGACATAATTGCCTATTTAAAGTTATTGCTTACTTGGTGTCTTTAATCTAGGTTTGCATGGCACCAAAGCATTCAGATTAAAAGTGAAAATTTTCCATTGAAGATGCCAGAAAAGAGTTGTTCTACTAAACACTTTTTCAATTGATTATGTAGTACTATGCAGACCTCTTTCCACTGGATTCTTCTTCACACATAAAATATTTGGTGTGCTAGCAAAATATTAGCCATACATTATCTCCATAATGATGACTAGTAAGAGTGATTCATAATTAATTCAACAGCTTCTAAACTGATTAATATGTCCTGAATCATATGAACCAAAAATATTTTAAAATGAATACGTTCTAGAAAATTCTCTCTTATTGAAAAGATGATGAGTTATAAGAGCTTAGTCTTATCCTAAATGCAAGTATAAGCTACAGATTTGTAATTTTTAAAGGCAAACATAGGTTTGGAATCAGATTTCCTGTTTTGTGGCTGGTACCGTCTAGATATATTCCAAATTGTACTCACAGAAAAAAAAAATCAGTGTAGCATTACTATGTGTAATCAACAGAATGTCTTATCTGATGGTTCTCGGCAGAAAGTTTGATTTGGGGGCTGTACTATGTTGAACAGCGTCCCCTCCAAAATTGAGGTTCACGTGAAACCTCAAAATGTGACCTTATTTGGAAACAGGGTCTTTGCAGATGCAACCAAACTAAAATGAGGTCATAATGGATTTGTTTGGTCAATGTCTAGTTTCTTTATAAGAGGAAAGGAAGGGAGATTTGAACACAGTGTCACAAAGATACACAAAGGGGTGATAGCCATGTAAAATATAAGAAGAAATTGCAGTGATAAAACTACAAGCCAAGGATTATTGATAATACCAGAACCCAAGGAGAGGCAAGGAACAGTTCCACCCTAGAAACTTCACAGAGAGAGAATGGCCCAGCAGACACCTCAATTTCAGAATTCTTACGTCTAAAATATTGAGGGAATACATTTCATTTGTTTTAAGCCATCCAGTTGTTGCAATTTTTTACAGCGGACCTAAGAAACTAGTACACAAGGCAAAAAAGATGAAAACTGAGCAAGGTAGTATGTTTAACTTGGGAAAGTGTTCAAAGACTAGTAATCAAGGTACAAGGAAATGTCGAGAATCGGGCGAGCAATTTAGGGTGGAGCATGCCAACCACTGACGACTAGAGTTTTTAAAGGAAAGGAAAAAGTTACAGGTTATTGATTGATCAGGGAAAAATAGGAATCCAACATCAAGACCTGTCTGTTTAACCTAAAGACTTGGGAAACAAATGCAAAGGCAAAATCAGGTTTACTTGAGAAGTGGAAATGAGGCAGAGTTTCTAAGAATCAATCCATGAAGTAATACTATCAGGTTCTAGGAACAATCTTCTCTTTTATCAGACAACAATCATTATTTTTGCAACCTTTTTAGACTCTTTTAAATTTTTCAAAAGAACATGAGCTTGTGTTATCTTCTGTGACTTGTTTTAATTGGAGCAGCCTGTTTGGATGGAGTCAGATTACTTTTGCTGGACAGTTATAATAAAACAGTTTTAAACTGTTCTTTTTTGTAGGATTATACTGACAACTGAACTTTAACCAAGTTTATAAAAATTATTGAGTATGTTGGATACTCTTCAGATGTATTTACATCTCTGGGAAAAATTATATATTAATATTTTGATTTATTAAGTCCTAGTAACTTAGAAAGCATTGTTTTCATAATCATTCACACAAACACTTCCTAGTACATTTTTTCCCACACTTCTATGCACAAATACAACATGTTGGAAACTGATTTCCACACATCCATTTAGAAAGTTACAATCTTTCCTTCCTTGATTCTAAGAGGTTATTTATGATCCAAGTATTATTTTGTGCAAAATATTTAGCAGGTTATCAAAAATATAGCCATACATTATCTGATTTAACTGACCATCAGTAAAATACAAAATTTTTAAAGTCTAAAATCTGTAGGCATCATACTTATGACACGTTAGTGAGATAACTGAATGTCATTAAAAGATTCTAACCATGGCCATAGAACTGAAAAAAAAAATCAGTTCGGTTATACTTTCATCATCTGTGATTGATTCACACTTGAAAATTGCGTGAATTTTGTCAGACAATGTACCCTAATATTGAGTTTGAAAAATGTGCTCACTGAACCTGCAGAGGAATAAAACTCCAGGACTTGGAACCATGTATTGAGTTAATACGCCAAACCATTATACAAGCTTCCATAGAAGTCTGGTATATACAGACAATAGATCATAGAAATTTGCTGCCATTAAGGTAGCATTTCACAGAGATCCCCCTGTATCTTGACTCCTCAAAAATTTTATTTTGAAGTAATTTTAGACTTGTAGGGTAGTTTCAAGATAGCACAGAGGGTTCCTGCATATTCTTTCCCCAGTTTCTTCTAATGTTAACATCATACATACATGGCCATGGTACATGGTCAAAATGAAGAAATTAATATTGGTAAAATACTCTCAACTGAATTATAAAATATTTTCTGACTTCCCAGTTTTCTCACTAATGTCCTCTTTCTAGGACCAAATCTGGATCATACATTCCATTTAGCTATCATGTCTCCTTAGACTTCTCCAATCTGTGGCAAGTCCTCAGTCTTTCCTGTTTTTCATAACTGTGACACTTTAAAGAGTATTCGTCAAATATTTTGTAGAATATCCCTCAACTTGGGTTTGGCTGATGTTTTCTTATGATTAGATTGAGGTTATGAATTTTGGGGAAGAATATTACAGAAGTGAAATGCCCTTTTTATCACATCATTTCAGGAGTACATGGTATCTCCATGCTGATCAATGGTGATATTAAACTTGATCACTTGGTTAAGGAATACCTGCCAGTTTTCTCCACTATAAAGTTGCTATTTTTCCTTTTCATATTCTATTCACTAGAAGTGACTGATGTTGGTTTTGAAAAGATATAACACTATTTTTGGGCACCTATCTAGAGAACCTACAAGTCATCTTGAGATAAGCTAATTGTTCAGTGGTGCCATCTTGTGGTTCATTGATTATACAGAAGCTGTTTTGCAATCTTAGCTGAAGGCCTTGTCATAAACAGATTGTCTCCCTAAATGAGGCACTGAACTAGGACCTATAAATCCAGTTTTTAGGATGTGCCCTTTTACAATTACAATGTGAGTTTTATGGAAAATTACGTTAAAACATCATTTGTTTTTAAACACACAAAAGAACACTAAGAAAAGAATTTAGTTTTAGATTTTAGATTGAGTGTTAAATAATCTCACGATTGCCTTTCAACTCAGTGAATATTATTCAGAAAAATCACAAGGACAGTATTAAATTATAAATGTGGATTTTCAGGCTGTTTTTCCTACCAGTAATATCTGGAGTATCATATGTGCCACTAGCTCCACTAGATTAATAATGCTTCATTAACTAGAATTTGAGTACATAGAAATAGAAATTCCATTTGACCCAGCAATCCCATTATTGGGTATATTTCCAAAGGATTATAAATCGTTTTTCTATAAGGACACATGCACACGAATGTTCATTGCAGCACAGTTTACAATAGCAAAGACCTGGAACCAACCCAAATGCCCATTGATGACAGACTGGACAGGGAAAAGGTGGCATATATACACCATGGAATATTATAAAGCCATCAAAAACAATGAGTTACTGTCCTTTGTAGGGACATGGATAAACCTGGAAACCATCATTCTCAGCAAACTGACACAAGAACAGAAAAGCAAACACCACATGTTCTCACTCATAGGTGGGTCTTGAGCAATGAGAACACATGGACACAGGGACGGGAGCATCACACACTGGGGTCTGTCCGGGGGAAATAGGTGAGGGACAGTGGGGGGTGGGGAGTTGGGGAGGGATAGCATGGGGAGAAATGCCAGATATAGGTGAAGGGAAGGAAAGCAGTAAATCACACTGCCATGTGTGTACCTATGCAACAGTCTTGCATGTTCTGCACATGTACCCCAAAACCTAAAATACAATAAAAAATAAAATAAAATAAAATTTAAAAAAAGAATGACCTTTACATTTTTTAATTGATAAATAAAAATTGCATATATTTATGGTTTATAACAAGATGATTTGATATATGAATGCATTGTGGAATGGCTAAATCAAGCTAATTAACATATGCATTATGCCACATGCTTATAATTTTTCTGTGGTAAAACACTTAAAATTTATTCCTTTAGTAAATATATTTATAGCAATATATTGTTATTAACTACAATCACTAGGATGTGCCATAGATCTCTTGAATTTATTCTTCTAACAGCAATTTTGTGTCTTTTGACCAATATCTCCCCAATCCCCTGTCCCCCACTGCCACCAGCCTCTGGTAACCACCATTCTACTCTCTGCTTCTATGAGTTCAACTTTTTAGAATCCAGATATAAGTGAGATCATTTGTTATTTGTCTTTCTATGTCTGGCTTATCTCATTTAACGTAATGCCCTTCAGGTTCATCCATCTTGTCACAAATGATAGGATTTCTTTCTTTTTAAGTAATTTTCAAACATCATAGAGCTAGGAGAAAAAAAATTGTCTTAGCTCCAATTCCTATTGTAAAAGAAACCGTCTTTTAAATATTTTGTATAAGTTCATAGTCTCTTTCATATTTGAGGAACAGAAGACAATAGGTAGCAACAATCCTCTGTAGTCATTCCTGACTCTAGATTCACGTCTACTGCATTTGGAATTAAGAAG